TGGGATCAGCTCGGCGTAGTGTATTACGAGCTATTAAAACCAACTGAAAGAATCACAGGCGATCGGTATCGAACTCAATTGATGCGTTTGAGCGGAGCATTGAAAGACAAGCGGCCGCACTACGCCGAGAGACACGAGAAAGTGATTTTACAGCATGACAATGCTCGACCCCATGTTGCAAAAGTGGTCAAGACATACTTGGAAACGTTGAAATGGGAAGTCCTACCCCACCCGCCGNAAGTCCTACCCCACCCGCCGTATTCTCCAGACGTTGCACCTTCGGATTATCACTTGTTCCGATCAATGGCACACGACCTGGCTGACCAACACTTCCAGTCTTATGAAGAAGTCGGAAAATGGATAGATTCGTGGATTACCTCAAAAGATGACTAGTTTTTTCGACGCGGGATTCGTGCATTGCCCAAAAGATGGGAGAAAGTAGTGGCCAGTGATGGACAATACTTTGAGTCATAACTTTATCTTCATTTTTTTACAATAAAGCCTCAAATTTAAAAAAAAAACGGCGAGAGCAAAGTTGTACACCTAATAGATAATATAATTATCGGGCATTACCTTGAAATTATTTTGTTATACTGTGCAAATGATGTACCGAATTACATTCAAGTATTGAATAGATTATTTTTAGAAACTTTATATAAAATTTCTCAGAAGAATTTATTTGAATTTGATCCATTTTTTCTAAAAACCGAAAAACTCTGTAATCTATTGGATTTGGCGTATCGGTAATAGCGTAAAATGCATTAAATATCTAAGCGGATTTATGTATGGTAATTGAGACGATTTGATTGGTTGACGCAAGTTATGCTTACGCAAGTTACGATACATGGGGAGACATCCTAAGACGATTATGTTGCCTGGGTTAATCCTATATATTACAGTATATGTGGAAATAAAAAGATATGCGCACAAAATGGCACTCGTGATAGATTCAACACACTTGTAAAAATATTTTATATATAATATTTCATATATATTTTATATATAATAGCCGAGAATCAGTGTAATACAACTTGCGTTCTTTAATCTAACTTTTCTCATGATTTCTGTTAATTTTACAGCTATTCATTGATCGTTCAAGTTAAAGGAAAATGTCCAAACATTTTTATAAGTATGCTGAATCTATCACGCGAATGTTACTTTATCCATATATTCTATTATCTTCACATATACCGTAATACATTTTGACATGTGATTTCTCGCTACTGACGTCATCAAACATGAACAGCCAAAGTAAGATCAGAGGAATCTTGAGCCCATATCAAACTACGGGTTGGAGATTGAGATTGAATTAAAAATTGACCAATTAATGCAAAGTTCACTAAATTTCGCTAAACCTGAGTTCAATTAATTTTACATGGATTGGCCAAATTCAATTTCAATCCCCAATCTGTAGTCTGATACAGGCTTCAAACTAGCGCAATTCGTTGATTTTGCCTAAGGCAATGATATTACATGCGTCGTACGATGAGCATGTCGAGCATGCTGATTGGCCGTCAGATAAAGAATTTCAAAAGTCCCTAGATTTTTTTCTAGACACGCTAAAAATTCTCTATCTGCCAATCAGCACATCCATGGACAAGACAAAGACAGACACAAACGAACAAAGATGGGGATATTACTTAGGTACTCTCTCTCTCTTTTTCTCTTTCTCTCAGTATGAGGTCATCCGGCAAACAAAGGCGGTGCTCATTCCAGTATGTTATATAATTCAATGATTTCTACTGACATGATTACGTTTGTCAGCACTATACTGCAGCTCCACAAACAGCTCCAAATAGCGCTAATAGCGTCTCCCCGAACACATCCCTAATGTTACGAATCATATTCTTGTTATAAAACCCAATATTTAAAGAATGATAATTTTTTGTCTTCAAACATATGACGGTTTCATTTAGAACTGTCAAGAGAGTCGAAAAGCTGCTAAAATTATTCCTATATTGCAATAGAGTTTTGAATCAACTGTTATTAATATTTAATCTAATATCTGGTATTACTGCAAATAGTAAATTAGTATAATGTCGCACTCTATTTTCTATGGTATGTATATTTCAATTAATTATAATACCTGAGTGTAAACATATAAATGCAAATATAAACTGGTATATCAAGTATATTTAATATATTAAATATATATAAGACCATTATTTCTTCATATATTTGTTAATTTCATATCTATAGTTCTTGACCAGTATCAAAAGGCACGATTGCTTTTTGTGCAATCTGTCGTGGATTTGTCTTCGAAATCTATCAACACGGACTGCTTGGAAACAACGGGTATCATAGACTTATTATGTCCCTTATTAGCGGATATTGTGCCGTCCATTCAACATATGACAGCGATTGCTTTAGGCAAGCTGGCGAATCGTAATATAAAGTTAGCACAAGCTATTATCAAGAGAAATATACTGTCACAGTTGCTGCAAAACATAGACAGACAAAATGTATGAGTTCTTTAAATGTAAATATTTTAGTTATGATGTAGAATATATAAATTTTTATAGACAAAATCAATTTTAAGTATCTTATTTTCTTATTTTGAAAGTTAAGTACACGGTTAATATGTCATTAGAAATATATGTATACACACAGTGTACACTTATGTTCCCCTTGAAACCATACAAATTTTGTTCAAAATATTTTTTTCTTAAATGCTTTCCTAAAGAGATAATCTAGTGGAAACTTTAAAATGGGACGCTGTGTGTTTCGTGCGCATACACACACACACACATACGCGCGCGCGCACGCACGCACGCAGAGAGAGAGGGAGGGAGAGGGGGGGGGGAGAGAAAGAGAGAGAGAGAGAGGATTAAAAAAAAGTATATTGTCACAGAAATTTTACAAGAAAGCAGCGCTCTTTGTCCTGCGATCAATAGCAAAGCATTCGTCGGAATTGGCACTAATAATCGTAAACAACAATGGCTTGCAGACTATAGTTGAATGCTTGAAACATTTTGATCCCGGAGTGAAAGAAGCGGCTGCCTGGGCATTGGGATACATCGCGAGACATGATAAAAATTTAGCTCAATTAACAGTGGACGCTGGTAAAATTAAATCATTGAACATTTACATTGATATAAATATTATATTATACTTATTTATATTAATCCACTGTACTCTCTGTGGTTCTATTTATCAGGAGCGATGTCACCTCTCGTACTGTGCTTGCAAGAATCTGAATTATATATTAAACAAATTAGCGCCTCAGCTATTAGCGATATATGTAAGCACAGCACAGAGCTTGCGCAGATGGTAGTAGATGCGGGTGCTATTTCCGTTCTTGTTAAAGTCCTGACCAATTCCGATGCCAAAATAAAGGTGATTCGATATAACGGATATGTAGACTGGATAATGTTAGATAATAATTATTAAATATATAACATATATATATATATATATATATATATATATATATATATAACGTTCGTAGCGTCAAGCGTTATTAGCATTGAGCAATATGGCGAAGCATTCCGCAGATCTGGCGGAGGCCGTAGTAGAGGCGGAAATCTTTCCGGACGTGCTAACGCACGTGGCTTATCCGGACGAAAGTATCAGTAGAATTGCAACTACTTTGATCAAAGAAATTTGCAAGCACAAACTGGAAGTAAGGAGATCCGATTTTTTCCGAGTACATTTGCGATGAAAACTTTTCGTTCTAAAAATTAAGTATGAGTCAACGAAGACCTCTCTCTCTCTCTCTCTCCCCCCCCTCTTTCTACTACTTTCTGTCTCTTTTCACTTTGTTTTTGAACATTTTCACTCGCACGCTTTCAGTTGGCGCAACTCGTAGCGAATTTTGGAGGTATCGCCACGCTTGTCCAATTGATCAGTACTTCACGATCGACGGCAAGATTATCAGCGATTACGGCACTCGGCTACATCGCTGGTCATTCCGATCAACTAGCGATGGCTGTAATAGGATCTAAAGTACGAGATAACGAATATTAATATAGCGAAATTGATGAATTTTATTCAACACAATGGTTGATTCACAAGACACGTTGGTGCAATTGTTCGGTATAGGCAATCGTACACCTGGCGATTGTTTTGCAAGAAAGTACGGAAGATCATGTTCTCACGGTGACTGTGTGGGCAATCGGACAAATCGGTAAACACACAGCCGAACATGCGAAAACAGTCGCAGTTGCGAATATACTATTCAAATTATTAGAGGTAGAAAAATATTGAATTATTCTTCGTAGAGAATTGTGTGTATATATTAGTGTTATAAATGACGATGAATTCATTTCTATATTATTCTGTAAATTCATGTTTAACAAGATGAGAGAGATTAAAATATTACAGGGAAAACTTTACGATATATAAGCTGTCCGATTTTATTTTTGACACTCAAATATCTTGGAAAAAGTGTTTTGAAAAAATAGTTTAAACAATCTTAGTCCGATATTTTCTCGGTAAAAAATAATTATACATGATTATATATAATTATATAAAATCATATATGAATTTTGCCCATATATGTAATTACATATATGATCATATATGTCTATACGAAAAAAATGATGTTATGTCATTTAATTAAATATCGGTATCGCGTGCTGTTAGAAGCACAAGTAGCCAGGAGCATTTATTTCGATTGTATTTGCATATAATTTGTAAACAACAGTATTTTTTCGTTGTGGACATATATAATTATATATCGATTTGCGTAAAAAAAAAACTATGATTCTATTTAAAAAATCACAATTGATCTTAAAATAATCTTTAAGAAATATTTTATTGACACAATAATATCACTATTTTATGCCCCTCTTGAAATCTTATAACTTTTGTTTAGAATATTTTTCCAAAGAAACTTAGCCTTTTCAAAAGATACTCGAGAGAGTGATAAGAATAAAATAGGATATTCTGTATTTTCATTTTTGAGGGAAATAATTTTTTTTTAATGTTCAACGTGTAATCTTTATCTTTTTAAATAGTTACATATTCTTTTATGTTTCTAAATAGTTACACAACAATCCAAGAAGCTCGGAAGATCTCAAGGCAAAATGTAATGCAGCGTTAAAACAAATCCTGCAAAAGTGCACGTATATTGAAGCCCTTGAACCTATGTTACATGATGTATCTCCTAATATTTTGAAGTACGTGCTAGGACAGTTCAGTAAGGTAAGAGAATACACTCGTCGTGCCGAAAAATTTCCAAAAATTTTCCACACATGATCATGTATGGCCAGAGAGGGTCCTGTTTAGCGCACAGGATCCTCCTAAATGCGATAACACACATCCATTCGTATCGGCCGATACCTCGAGTTTTTAGGACAAGAACCTTTTTTGTAACATGCCAAGAATATTATATAAAGCGGACATGTAATAACAACAGAACGTTCAAAAGTATCACATAACATTCTTAGAATATTATAAGAATATTATTTTAATATTGAGTAATATTCATATAATATTCTAGGAATATATTTTTTTCTTTCAGTTCGCATAAATTATATTACGCGATTATAGGATTTCTACCATTGAATGAAAAAAATTAAAAACAGATTGTTACGAGGAAGCTTCGATCTTGCGTTCTTTCCACTATTATTAATCCTTCTTCCTTTCTTTGTTACTTTTGAAGTATACTACTGAACGTTAGAAATGTTAAACATTAAAAACTTCTATTTAAAAGGCGCCTTGGACAAAACACTCGGGCACGAGTCTATTTATTTTCGACATAGATTCACCACGTACAAGGAGATTAAAATCAATGAGGCGTTCACTATGCTCTCTCTCTTTTTCCTTGTAAATATGAAAAGACTTTCTAATATACCATTGATAGTATGATGAGATAAATAAGAGATGATTGCTATTATCGTTACATCATTTAATAAAAATGTATATAACTGAAACACAGAAATTAACCAAAGTCTTAGTAATTTTCTATGATGACTGAACGTTTCGACCCCACTTTTGGACCATTTTCTCAGCGATATAATTGTAGTTTAAATTAACGCAAGACAGTATGAATATTTTTTTTATTGTATGTAGTCATCTACACAATTCTCGTGATACGTTTTAGTGATACGTCATATAAAGTGATGATACAAACATTTTGTCTGATACAGAATAATCCATTTATAGGACATACTGTTACATCTTTTCTTATATAAAAATCTCGTAGAATCTTAACAATGAAGTATCTGTATCGCTTCCTCTGTTCTACATCGCCGTTTTAACCTGACCTTCTCCTATAATTATATTTATATCATGTAATATTTAAATCTATATGCGAGCAATTTGATTAAGCCTTCGGTGTACAAATTTTCGTCCTACTTAAAAATTGGTCACAAACAATTGCGTAAGGCGGATGTTTCTTTTTTTCTTTCAGTTCGCATAAATTATATTATGCAATAGGATACAGTTCCAGATATTTTATTTCTCAAAAAATGTTAAACGCTCTTTTACAGTGTAATACACACATAACAGCCAGTTGAGGAAATTACTTTTAAAAATTAACTGATTACCGTTACTTGTTAGTTATCCGTTAAAAAAGTAACTCGTTACCTAATAAAAGTTACTCGTTGTTTATTAAAAAAAAAAAAAAAAAAACCGTCACCGTTATTTAAGAAACAACGGGTCGTTATACAATTTCCATTTATTTTTTTGACCAAGTTTTTTTAAGACTCTTTTTGCAGGATTTGCTTCCACCCACTTCATATACATGTATTCTATGTGTGCAAAGTAATAAATAATAAAAGTAATGATTATGTTTGTTACCATTACTGATGAAAAAACCATCAAATTGCTATTGTAAAAAATAACTTGTAACGGTAACGGCGTTGCAAGTAACGCGTTACTTCCCAATCCTGGTAATAGTATAATACGTGATAGTAATCATGCAAATGACTTATATCTACAAATCCGTTTATCGATCTCTACATTTATAGCCATATCTTGTGTTTCTGTTATCTAATTATTTATTAAAGGCAAGATAATCTTCGACTTTGATTTGACTTCACCTAGTCTATGTACGAAATCGAAGTCGTTAATGTTATTGTTGCAACATAATAATGCCTAATATTGAATTTGTTTTTTTCCCTCTGAGACTCTCTCTCTCTCTCTCTCTCTCTCTCTCTCTCTCTCTCTCTCTCTAAGACAATATGGCACGTTTCGTATCTTAAAAGAATACATTTTTCAGTCTTTCGACGAGAAGCGATTTGACTAAGTATAGAGACGTTTCTTTCGTCAAATAAGCTCATATTAAAAAAACTATCGTTCAAGTTTTAGAAGATCATTAGACTCTAATATTTTCCGAGGTGTTTACTACATATTTCTACTGTATACTGATTTATCTTTTAATGGCAGTATTCGATGCAGACGTAAGTTTTATAAAAAAAATTGCTTAGATATGGACAACGGAGGACAGTCAAGCTGGTCAACAAATATAAAGGATGGACTGACAGATTAATCGATAAAAGAAAAAACGTCAAAATATCGGGTGATAAGGCATTGATTTAATGTTTGTATTAGTCCATATCTATTATACAAATCTTATTGTTTTTACACATACCTCTCTCTCCCTCTTTCTATTTCTGACAAATATTAAGCTCATCAACAGTAACACAGATAATAATTGCAGTATACATTGAATGTTCATCGACTTGAACATAAGTTTCGGTTTATATTAAAAGTCAATATCATTAACTAAATGGAACTTAACATCATCATTAACAATGATAGGTGTGTGTGTGTGTGTGTGTGTGTTTGTGTGACAAATATATATATATATATATATATACGCTAATATGTTTTACAAATATATATATATATATATACTCGTATATATATATTTGTAAAACATAGCGCTTTTTTAAATAAAATAATACTTCATTACTAGCGATAATTTCAGAAAAAAAGTGGAAAAATTAAAAGTGTGAATATGCGTATAAGCGGATTCCTGCAAGATATTACATAACATCAACATTGTGTATTGTCACACGAAAGATGAGACAATGCATATTGAGATAAATGAATTTCAAAATGCATGTGTTTACAAAACGTAAAGAAATACATACGAATGAATCGATTTTACAAAAATTTGGCTAAGTTTGGCCGAAATTTATGATGTATCTCAATTCTTAATGTAATTATTAAAAGTAATTATTAAAACATATATTTGACTCAGAACGTGCAACCTGTTCAAGTATTTCTGAAAAATGGGAAAAATATTGCTTGATAATTGAAGCAACTATTTTTGTATGATTAACATACGTGTTGAATATTGGTAAATAAAATATAAAATGGTTTAAAAAGTTCAGAAAGTTATACAACATATTATTCACATATTTTTAAAACCAATGACGATAATTTATACAAAATATAGTAATTTTGTTAAAAGATTAATTCCGGTTACGTGTAAAATAAATTTAAAAAAATTTNTTTGTAAAACGTTTCATTGGCAGTTTGCAATTAATTTTATCTTTTAATTATATAAAAAAGCTTCCCCTTTATTGGTTCTTTGAAAATACTCATGTAAGCAAATAAAAACGGGAAACAATAAAACAAGTTATTAAATAGAAATATTCAATTAATAATTATTAAGGTTGGATTTTATTTTTATTCCTGGTTAATTTAGTAATCATTTATGAAAAAATAAAGATTTGTAACAATATAGACGATGCATATCTTTACGTTACTAGAAACTGATATAGACTCTATTTTCCTAATATATTCACTTTAATATATACTTAATGTAAGATTCTCGTAAATATATAAATATATAAATTTATATTTAAAGAACTTCTTGGAACTTTATATATTTCCTACAAGTTATTAAAAAAATTGCCAATATCGAGCCTCGTTCGTTATATAAAATGAGAAGGAAATATATATATATTAATAAACTCTTTTATAATCTTGAATTTTCAAATCATAATTTAAAACGTAAATTCTTAGTTATTTAAATAATGTGATTATCAATATTTTACTCGTCAATTTCGTCATTGGGTTTGATGCTAGCGTAATTGTTCATATTTCTATTCATTCTTAACATCTTAAGAAAACTGCCCAACACCAATATAGTTTTTCTATGTCGCCTGAAGATTCCTGCATACAATTCCTCGCGTACATCTCTTCTATCGCTGACATCTGAATCGATGCTTGATACTGAGACAACAGAAGGTTTAGCTGAGACCGGTTGATGATAACTGTTGGTCTCACCGGAATTCAGAATCACACAGTGTTGATTATTTATCATTCTGATTAACAACTGTTCTTTCCTACTTTATCACACACGTTTATACTCTGTTTTCTCCTTTAGTTTACATTAATACAAAATGTTGTATTTTTATAAATATATAATTGACCAACGACTCGTTTATAAACGGTCGTAAATTTAATTTTTCCGACACTTTGCAAGACTCCTATATTCGCACTAGATTCTACGATTTCATTTGTTTTCAGAGCGAAACTAATGATCTCCGTAAAACTGATTTACAAGGGATTTGATAGAGAAAATTGTATAGATACGTCCATATACACGCCTGTACATAAAATTGACGTATTATAATTCTCGTAGTAGAGAATAGCGATGATATCTCTGATTTATTACATCATTCGAACTGTCATGTCTCTTGAAAATTTAAGGCAGCTATCTTACATCGTTGTAGGAGCTTTATATAACAGGCGTTTTACAATCACGTTATACTAAATAATCTATGATAAATTGGCACAAAGATGCTTCCTCTCTGAGCTTCTCTTTAATCTTTGACGTTGAATCGTAGTCGCACGAATTCAAACGACTTCACGTCGATTCCGGTCCTCACAGAAAAAAGAACTTGTGACGTGAAAGTCACTTCTTATTTCTCTAAACATACATTCATCCAAAGACACTTTTATGAAAGAAAAAGGCCTTAAACTAAATGTTTCGCTGAATACAACATGCTTCATTAAATATGAATCGATTCGTTAGTTATTCTCATGGAACTTTTGAATTGATCGGTCCTGAACTATTTTAAACTTTGAGGATAAAATCAACAAGCCTTCCTGATATTTTTGCCATTGAACATGACGCTCGTTGAAATTACGATATCTTCTATTATAAATGACGTAGCTTTAGTTGCCGATACTTCTCAAGTAAAAGATCCAACGTTGATTGATAAGCTGTAAACAAATAGAACGAGGAAGATATAAATATACAATGTAAAATGAAATAAGTACCATATACAGATTGTAAACATAATATTTCTTTAAACTATAAGAACATCGTGTTTATGTGTTGTGTTTACACAGATATATTTAAAACGTTTAAAAATTACTTTTGGTTGGTGCAAATGAAACGGCCGTTTTTGAATTTAAACTTTTGACTTTTATTTGACAAACTTAAAACTTGTTTCATCATTCAAAATAGTCTCTATCTACATCAATGTATTCCTGCCAAGTGTGTGATATAAGTGCATCAACGCCGTTCTTGAGAAAATCTGGAAAAGAACGAGAGAACGATGAATTGCAGTCGTGGAATGCATTTTTTACACGTCTTTCTTCTTGGAAAACTCTCCCATTCAGATGCTTAAATAGATGGTGATCCATCGATGAAATGTCTGAAGAATAGAGAGGGTGAGGGAGAATTTGGAACTTCAACTCAGTTAGTTTTTTTACGGTTTTTTTTCGCAATGTGTGGTCTGGCATTATCGTGAAGCAACGTCGTACCGTGTCTATTGACCAATGGTTGAGCGCGCAGTTTTGACACACAATGCCGACTGTATTTATCAGCGTTTGTAACCTCACTTTGCTTGGTAAACGTCCCTACTCGACTATCATACTGACACCGTAATTTTCTTTGGATGGATTTTGGCATGTCTTTCGAAGGCTCATTCGCATCTAACCAGAATGCGCAGAACGTCGACGATTATCGTAAACGATCTATTTTTCATCGCACGTCACTATTCTGTGCGATATTCCATCATTATTCTATCGGGAATGCAAAGAAATCATCTATTTCATCTTGTTCGTCGGTTCACGGGGAATCCATATGTTCATTTTTCCCAAGGCTTTTGAATGTCAGACAATAGTCGAATGATGGATCTCCCCGCGATCTTTTGAACTGTCAATCTCGGATCAATCATGTCCCTTAAAACGGCGTCGTCAATGGGACGGAGGGTGCACGCTCGCGAAATAAATTGTCGAAATTTGTGCCTCTGGACCGGAACTTTTCAAACCAACGCCTCGTTGTCCTTTCACTGGTAGAACTTTCGCCGAAAACAGTGTTGCCTCGGCCTGACCGAGCTTGAACTCGTACAAGTAAATTAAACGAATTTCTTTATTCTTCATGTTGACTTAAACGCGAATTTCAACAATACCGTGGTAAATGAGTAAAGTTATGTATGCAAATTCACGTGCGAGATACTTCTCATATGATATACATACAGTGCAGAAAGATGAACTACACAAAGACGGGAAATACGAAAAACGGCTGTTTCATTTGCACCAACCTAATACGTTGCGTGGGCATTCTGTAAAAAATATGACAGCAAAATTGGCACAATTATTAACGACATGTAATATTTATGAAATTTCACGTTAGCAATGGAGAATTAATTTGAGGAGTTTCACATATTATTATTACGGTCGGAAATATTTTATTAAGAAAATCTACTCTTTCTTCAAATATCGCTCTACATTTTCTTTGTTTCTCTTCTTTCCAATTTCTTCTTCTCCTTTTTTTTTCCTTTATACATGCGAAAAACAGTTTGAAAATTAGCATTTCGAAAACATGAGAATAACAACATTCGATATATCAATCGATGAACAAATATGCTTGTCTTTTTTACATCAGATTCTTCATATAAACTACTGAAATCTGTTTGACAAAATGATACACTGATGAGATATATAGTTGAGAATCACATGGAAATTTGGGAGAAATGAATGATATTGAATCAGATTTTATATGCTATACTATTTCTTTCGACAGTGCAATGCTATCCCTACTTTTTGCGTAAACAAAAGTTTTTTTTTCATAAATGTAATAATTATGAATATATATTTGCATATTAATTTACATAAATATTGATAATTTCGATAATCATCATGCGGAGTATCAAGAATTACACGAGAGAGGGGAGGAGAAAGAGAGGGAGAGTATAAATTTGTTAAAAATGAAAAAAATAAGAGTTCTCGCGGTCCAATGTATTGCAATATTTTCCTGTATACATTGATTTATTCGAAGGAACTATCATATTCAGTTTGTTGTTGAAAAAAACAGATTCAGCGAGCCTGCACAATTATACTCGAATAATGCTACAGATCAGGTTTCAGAAGCCTTATTCTTAGCTACTTGCATCATATGATGTAAGGCCCGGCGAACATGATGACGTAATAATGACCTCTGTGACATCATTAATACGTCGTCTATCACTTGACATTTTTCATATATATCATTGTGTGTTGCTGATAACTTTTTTTACATACGCATAGCTACTCTCACGTGACATCTTCAAAAGTAGTTATTAAAATTACTTTGTTACTGTTGGTCAAGTTGTAATATTATTCATCTGTTTGCGTACAGATCTTACCAAATGACGCGAGAGCGAGAAGATTGTTCGTAACATCAGGTGGCTTAAAAAAAGTACAGGAGATTCAAGCTGAGCCTGGCACCACAATCTCTGAATACATAACGATCATCAATTGCTGTTTTCCGGAAGAAATCATCAGGTTATCTTTCCTTTTTATATACTCGACACCAATTATTTCATAGCGTAGATTCGCAAAAATATCATAACTCGTGAGAAAAAACGAAACAATTCCATTTATATCCTTCTATTGCTTGATTATTGAATATATTCTATTATATATTGAATATATTTTTCATGTTTTTTAAACAGTCTCTTCAGCTGAATCATACAACACGCGATATTCACTCTCCCGATGATCATCACTATTCGATGATTTTAATAGTTATTGTATAGTTACGGAAAAACTGTAGTCAAACATTGATAAATCACTTGCGATTCAATAAATTATTTGTATAAACGATTCGAAAGACTAAGTCAAGCATGCAATATTACATGATTCGTGTTACGATTTAAAGGAACAAATTACAGGTATATTTATGTGTATATAGTTTTTTGCTTATATTTTCAAGAATTATCGATCACAGTTTATCATATACGATGAGTACGAAGAGAGGTTAGTCAAAGATTCTTCGTGATTGCTTTGTGTCGGGAATGATACTCACATGTTACGAGCTGGACTCTTTCGTATTTATTAAGCATCCGGTCTCTTCGCATCGTCGTTCACGCCGTCGGTGAGCAAATGACTGCGAATCCGTTTCTGATTATCATAACTTGAATCGGCCGAACAACAGACAACAATACTCATGTTATTACAGTCGATCGTGCTTCGAGAGACACGAAAGAATACGCTTTCGTGGAGATCAATAGCGAGAAAAACAAGATCCGCCGTTTGCAAACTTGTTGTTTGTCATTTGATACAGGGGATATTCTAACGTTGATCACCACACTACGACCACTATACCACTGTTTCTCGAATTGTCATGCAGTCTTGTCTGCTCGTGAACATGAATATTTGCTTCACGTCAGACTTTTCTCGTTCATCGATAATTTACTTGCTTGTCGAACGCTAAAGCGAACAACATTCGCCGGCAGCTACTCTTGAAATTGTACACGCAAGCTGCGAATGACGCAGAAGGTTTTTTTCTCTCTGCACTCGATGCACTTATAATTCGAGAAGTGTGCGTTCTGATATTCCGACAGTCGGTATAGCAAATTTATAATATATTTATAGTATTTATGTATACACGTAACACATGAATTCATTAAGCTCTATATTACTGATTGGAGTGAACCTGTCCTATATTAAAATCTGCGTGAGAGAAAAAGGAACAGGAGTGTTTGTGATATTAGGTCTGTTTTTTATAGTTGAACTCGGACCGCACGATAAATGAACGAATCAATGCGAACTAAAAGCGGGTACCTATCATGGGACTATTCGGAAAGTTAATTATGATCGGTCAATTTCTTAAATCTTACGCCTTAAATTTTCATTGTAGGCCTCATTTTATGGAACTGTTCGTTTCCGATCGGGATTGCTCAATTATTCCCTAGATTTCTATTGCATTTTCTAGGAAATAACTGAATGACTCCAAATCCGAAACGTTTTCGAACAGTTCCATAAAGTGGGGTCTACAATGAAAATTTAAAATGTGAGATTTCAGAAATTGACTAATCATAATTAATTTTTCTTCTATAATTCGACTGTAATTGGTCAATTTCTTAAATCTTACGCCTTAAATTCTCACTGTAGACCCCGCTTAAGTGTTGGTTTAAAATAGGTTTAAGCCCTAAGAAATTGACCAATCACCTTTGATAATTCTTCTATAATTCGATTGTGATTAGTCAATTTCTTAAGGCTTAATACTTAAATTCTCATTGTAAACCCCGTTTTAATTTTAATTGTGATCTCTGCACTTCATTACTTATTTCTTTCTTCCTCCAAAAATCAAATATGTTTATCTTTTTTCAATTGTAGAGAGTACAGTTAAAATAAACGCAATCCTTGTTAATTATTTTTTGCTTATATCTAAATTGTTGCGTTGTGGGAAATTGTTTCAGATACTATTCACACGGTTATCCTGACAGTCTTCTGGAAGCTGTGGAACAATATCAACCAAAATGTATATTTTTATTTGATCATAAATCATCGTCTGATCCTACGGATTCCAGTTTGTCCGCATTATTTGACAACGATGAGAAGTAAATTTAAATTATTTCTCTTTTACTATATATACCCTTTTACATCTATTGCGCATTTTACTATAAGATACGTTATAGAATATCGTAAGCAAATTTGCATTATAATTTTAAAAATGTAACTTCTTTTTTTCAATGTAACAGTAATAAATATTGAAATTTTGAAATGGATCATCTGCTGATTGGATCGACGCTCAACGCTTGTCTGTTGATTGGCTCCGATGCTTGACGCTCGACGCTACCATGAAAACGTCTCTTAAGCTCGTATCAAACTACGGATTAGGGATTGAAATTGAAAAGGAATTTAGCCAATTAGTACAAAGTTAACTGAATTCAAATTTAGTGAAATTTAGTGAACTTTGTACTGATTGGTCAAATTTCAATTCAATCTCAATCTCTAATCCGTAGTCTGATATGAGCTTTAAATGGAACCTGCCTGAAATAGTGCAACCTTTTTTACATCCACTTTGACTTCTACTCCTGAAATCACCTCAAATAAACGCACAGTCTAGATGTATTATGTCTATGCTCCGATCTATTCACTTACTTTTTTCTCCAGCAGATCGCAGATTTCTATAGTTTGGTACGAGGAAGATTCACTCTGGTACACTATAGAGCTCAATGATATAAACGCGAAAGGAATATGGCGGCAATAGTCTCGTAGCAGTATCATTAATCCATTAGCGATCTTGTAGTACGAGATAGTAAAGTATTATTGCAGATCGAAGGAACGCAGTAAGCGATGAGTTTCTTCAGCAAGGTCTTCGGCGGCAAGAAGGAGCCGGCCGCTCCTTCGACGGCCGAGGCGATTCAGAAATTGCGCGAGACAGAGGATATGCTGATAAAAAAGCAGGAATTCCTAGAGAGCAAGATAGACAATGAGGTGGTGATAGCTAAGAAAAACGCATCGAAGAACAAGCGAGGTGTGATTTCCTTTCTTTTCTCGTACGACTCGCTTACTCGACGAATTTTAGATTTAATTTTACAGCTGAGCTGTCATCTTTGTAATCTTTATCCTATTCATTGTTATTTCATATATATAAGCAGGTTCCACTTAACACTCGCAACGATTGCGGGTATCGTTCTGTCTTTGTTTAACATCCAAAAGAAACAAGAATAAGATGCTTGCGATCGTTATGAGCGTTAAATGGAACATACCCTATATAATTGCTTATTGTGTTAAATTATATGCCTTGGAGGTCAAATTTTCAAATTTCTATCTTGATGATCATAGTTGTTTTCCAGCACAAGACACAAGCTGACATGAGTCTAGTTGTATCATCTATTATCCTTTTTACCAAATGCGAAATAAGGACAAATGATGATTTAACTAAACTTATATCAACTTGTGTCTCTTATTAAAAAATATGTACTTTTTATTTAGAAGCTGTTGTATATACATACGCACACATATACAAATCATACACATATGCACACACACACAAAATGATTAAGGTCTATTACTTACTTTTGTCAATAAAAGTATTCCTAAAAGTGGCTTAGGAACTATTCGATTGGCTGAGAAGCAGCATATTTGTTTTCATTGATAAAAGTGAGTTCAGAATTGGACTTAATTGTCAAAGAATATTGTTTATCGTTTAGCTGCTATCCAAGCACTCAAAAGGAAGAAACGATACGAGAAACAGCTGCAACAGATTGATGGTACATTGTCCACCATTGAAATGCAGCGAGAAGCATTGGAGAGTGCAAATACAAATACCGCTGTCCTTACCACTATGAAAGGTGCTGCAGATGCAATGAAGGCAGCACATCAACACATGTAAGGCTTTTACTCTCATGACTGTTTTTGATATTCAAAACTTTAGATTGTTTTGTATAATTCATAACTACATGATAAATTTGGCTTATATGCAATATAAGCTCAATTTGTGTATTTTATAGTAATAGTAACATTTTCATATCATATATTTTTGCTTCAGGGATGTTGATCAAGTGCACGATATGATGGATGACATAGCGGAACAGCAAGATGTAGCTAGAGAAATTTCCGATGCGATATCCAATCCAGTAGCATTTGGTCAGGATGCTGACGAAGATGAGCTAGAGAGGGAGTTGGAAGAACTTCAACAGGAACAGCTTGACAAAGAGTTACTCGGTATCGATACGACAACCGATGAACTGCCGGCAGTACCAACTTCAGTTCCTGCTGTACCAAGCAAGACTCGTACAAGTAACGTATTATTTTTTCAATATATTCTCACTGTGAAAGCAGAGTTGAAAGTAATTCATCACGAAGCTTTAGTTTTAACATAACTAGTTTAACATAAGAATCGTATTGTATAATTGTACAATATACGAGAGATATATCTATCGTATATTTGTAAGTTAGGCCAGCGTGAACCAAAAAGTCCCTTACAATTTTGTAAACTACATAAATTTTTAGTTATCGATTAGAAAAGATAGGCATACGCTTGCGCGTAATGTGAAGATGCAAGTAATGGAGGATAGAGGCCACATTATTCGTATCTCGCCATTTGTCGCATCACGTGTAAACGTTTTCCTTCTCTAACTAATAACTTAAAAATTTATGTAGTTTCCAAAAGGACTTCTTTTTATTCATATTGTTATCTAATCTACATGACGGATCTATTGCACGTAGCAATAGACATCTTGTATAATTAAAATTTGCAACATTGGATGCGCTAAATATTGCATTTTTATTCGTAGAAGCTAAACCGGCAGAAGAAGATGATGATTTGAAAGATTTAGAGGCATGGGCATCGTAAAGTGATATTAGATCGAATGTCTAAATCAAAGAATACAAGATATTTTAAAATAAATATAGAAATTAAAAATATTACTATCATGCGTATTACTGCTATACTATAATTGCACATATTAACTAAATCAATTTTTTAATGTGAATCCGCTTGTGTTTGATTTCTTAAGTACACTTATGAAAGGAAGGAATAGTACTTGAATTAATAATAATTAATATATATTTAATTTTAATAGAAATTGTATCGCTGATATTTTTATGCTATGATAAATATTGAACTAATGATTAAACAGTAACGTACGTATAGGTTTTGGTGGATAAATAAATATATATAAATATGAGTATATATATATATATAAGGAAATCATTATATACACACACACATACAGGGTATTTCAGAACCCATGAAACAAACTTGAAAAATCGATTCTCTCAGTGAGATCTACTATCCCCTGAAATTTGTCCCATAGATCCTGAAACGCCCTGTATTATACATGCACATCAATCTATATCTTGGATGTAAAAAAGTAAATTTTGTTCTTGTATTCACTCGTTCGCAGAATTTTATGCTTCTTTTCAAAGCATCTTGCCGAATATATCCAACATTCAATAAGAAGATCTATCTGCCAAGAATTGGTAATAAATTGGTAATTGGTAAAAAATTCGACAAGCAAATTTTTCAATTAGACGTTGACTGCGTTCCGAGGTTCATTGAGAAAAAAAAAATATTCAAACAGTTCTGCGAACGAATGTTCGTAAACAGAAAAACAGATAAGTTGTACAGCGTATTATTTCTTCAACGAGTTATTTCGTTACTGTACATAGACGTGATGTTTCGGAGAACACTTGGAATTGTTCAATACAGACGTCTTTCGAGACTTTGTACAAATACATTTGCTATAAATAAATAAATAAATGACTGGAAAGAGCATTATCTCTGAGGCATAAGACGTCGGTCTGACATGACCGGCTTAGCGCGGCGGCACGATGACAATTTCGGAGTCCTTGTCGCCTTCTCCCTTACTTGGATCTTCGTCACCGTCACTCGTCACCGAGGAGCCTTCCTTAGACCCCTCCGAGGCCGCGTATCTCCGGGCAGCGTTATACACCGTCAACCTGGAGTATCCGAAAGACATTATTTCGCTTCTGGCGTCTTTCCGGCACGAAGGCTTTCGATAATCGCCGGTTATATTCTGGGCTGACCAACCGTTTCGAGGTCAAGTAATATGCTGAAGTAATATTGCAAAAAATATCTTTGCAGTGTCTCTGCAATATTTACGCAATGTTGCAACTTTGCAGTAATGTTGCTGCAAAGCTTCTGCACTACTTGGGTGAATGATAATATTTTCAATTCTCAAGACAAAATTCATCGTACTATTTTTAATCTAATGGACTTCAAGAGTTGGATACCATATGATAGCTGCGTTCCAATATTCACTGCGCTGAAAATCTGTAATATACGTAACGTGAACTATAGATTTTCAGCACTGACAGTAAATTTTGAAACACAACCGATATCCATTGATCACCATGGTAACGGCAATAACGTTTCCATGATTACGTACGAATCTTATGACAAATATTGGGAATCATCTCTTTTGCTACAAAGTTACTGAATAGAATTTATCAGCGATGGAGCCCCGAAATCTCGAAGCAATTGGGATAATCAAGTTTGACGGTTCGTATAAAAAAACAGCATTTCAAATTTAATGTGTTATTATTTGAATAACCCCGACAAACGCGTAATATTCCTAGAATATTATATGAATATTATTTAGTATCAAAATAATATTCTTATAATATTAAATAATAATAATAATAATAATAATATAGAGGAATATATATAAATAAAAAACATATATATGTAAACAGTTTTTTTACAGTATAAAACATATATAAATAATTTTTTTAATATAAAACATTTTTACACAAAATTCTTCCGACTTTATTTGTATAATAAAACAATTGTATAATAAAACAACATATTGCAATATATTTGAAATAAAAACTACAATTATATATATTATGTATATACATAGAAGTGAATATTTAAAAAATATGTAATATTACGATAACATTAAATATTACTTTTTAAATATTATTAGGAGTGGACATATAACCATCTATTAATATTCCAGAAATATTAGTATCAAATAATATTATACGCTTATAGAATGGATGCACCAATTTAAAACACCTACAACAAAAAATATTGATCGATTTTTTTTAAGTTCTAAGTAGAATCTAGTTCTAGAATCTAAAAATAGTTCTAGAATACTCCTTTAAAATTGGGCAAAATTGAATGAAAGAATGAGAATCAATCGATGGGATTAGTTGAAATTTAAATTAATGAAACAATTTGAATATTTAGAGTGATATTCAAACTTTTGAAATTATTCAGGATGCTTTTGCATATCAAAAAAACCTTACTGTATTTTCTTTTTATATTTAACAAACATAATTGTACATATTAACGTAGGTATAACAAAAAACGGGCTGCGTTTGCACCCAGACGGACAGCACATCCTTTATCCAATGGGTTACAAAGTAGTTATAAAAAAAATCGAAACCGGTGAACAAAACTTCTTCAGTGGACACACAAACAATGTATCGGCGTTATGCGTTTCTCCATGCGGTGAATATGTTGCATCTGGTCAAAACAATCATCTTGGTCTCAAGGTAACAACGTCGTGATTAAAAATTAATTACGATAAATCATAATTACGAGAAATTTATTAGTTTTCATTTACATTGAAAATTCTATTTATGAAAATAAATTAAGCTAGTAAACACCAACTGATGGTAACGTAATGTCAATGTTATAATTTCCCACTCAACAATCTAAATTTAATATAACGCGTGCGTTATGTAGCAGTTACATCGTTAAACGAGAAATTATAACATTCATGTTATGTTACTTGATAGTTAGTGCTTACTATAATATTTCAATTATCCTGAAAAAATTTAAGGTCATAAAAAAGATTTAATTACATTGATCGATTTGCATCTCACGTTGCAGACCGTAGTGATTGTATGGGATTACAAAAAGCGTGAGATAAGAAAAAGTTATGAGATACATAAAGGTAGCATCGAGGATCTGTGTTTCACGTGCAATAGTGACTTTCTTGTGAGCATCGGAAGGGACGATGGCGCAGTGATTATATGGGATGTCCGGGCCAATTCTCCGATATGTGGTATCTCTTCTTATCTTAATAATAATTATTTTATTATATAAATAAAGTCGACATCATTTTGTGTAAAAATACGTTTTATACTAAAAAATTATATTTTTTTCTATATTATTATTTTTTTTTTTAATATTCTAAGAACATTTTTATAACATGCCAAGAATATTCTGTGAAGTGGACACAACATCAATAGAACATTCCTATAATATTTAAAAAATATCACATAATATTCTTAGAATATTATAGGAATATTATTTTAATATTGAATAATATTCATATGATATTCTAGGAGTATTACGCGCTTATAGAGAACTTTCACTCAAATTACACGAAATCACATAGAAATCTAATGAAGAAATAAAAATAATTTCGGGTCAAATAGATCCGAACGGCAAGATTAAATCTGTCTATCTGACGTCCACCGTGATGATAAATGCGCAGCCAGAGCTATAAATGTTGCATGAATGTTTACTGGAGGTTTCGTACGAATAATTTATTTTGTAAATCGAGATTGTTTCGAGAGAAGAAATAAACTCTTCTATTTGCGGACGCATATTTGATAAAACAATTTTTTCAGGCTCATCAGCCAGCAATGAAACGAGCGGTAGTGCATACAACATTGCGAGAATGAATGTTCACGGCGCATGTTTCATTACTGCGGGCGACAAGACTTTAAAAATCTGGCATGTCAACGCGGAAAGACGGCAAATGCATGGAACTGACGTAGAAATGGGGAAACTGAAACGCCTCAACAACTGCATCGTCGTGGACGAGAAAGATGAGATAATCTATTGCGGCACTTCTTCCGGTGATATTGTTAAAGCAAGGTTGTAAAGTAGAAGCTGAATGATCGGAGAAAATTTTCTCCCAATATTTATTCGTTTATCCAGCTGTCTTTTAATAATTTCGTCATCATCTTGTATCTGTCTCTCATCTCTTTTTGATAGTTTCCTTTCATCTTTTCCGCAGAACAAACCTACGTTACGATCTCCAATGCGAAAAACTAGCGTGTTCGCCGGTAATGATCGGCTGTTATTCGAAAATAACGCGCGATCCGAAGAAAATGAAAGCAGGTGAGGGCGATCTTTACGCGGGAGGGGTAAAAGCTTTGCTGCTTCTGAAAGACGAGAGATTGGTCGTTGGTGCTGGCGACGGTACCGTTGAACTAATCGAGATAATAAGCAGGAACAACCAAGCACGCGTGAAGCCGTCTATGTCGAAGCTTCCTAATACGCCACAAATATTTACCGTGAGTTACGAGTTAATGTTAAGTATATTAAAGTAAGAAAGTGAAGAAGAATATTTTACGAGCGGTAAAAGTGAAAAACAGAAGATATACACAAGTTATTATGGATAACATTAATCCTGATTTTTTTTCAGCATCAAGCAGGAAACGTATGTAGCGCTGTGACATCTATGATCCTGCACTCAAATCAATTTGTATTGGTCGGCACAGTTTGGTGCGAGATTTACCAAATTCAATTGTCAAATTTTCACACGCGTTTGCTCATCACATCTCACACCGCTTGTATATACAGCATTGCGTTTCCGCAGTAAGTTTTTTTAATTATATCTCTATTAAAAAATATGATTAATTAATTATTTGCCCCTATTTGTGTGTTGTAGTAATCGTTCAGATATATTTGCAACAGGCAGTAAAAACGATCTCAGACTGTGGAGATTGAAAACGCAAGACGAAATACTTCGTATCACCGTGTTGAATTTCGTTTGTTCCGGTCTACAATTTGCACCCAATGATCAAATATTATTCTCGGGTATATGACTTTCTGGCATAATATTCGTTACATATATAGATGTTGCGTGTCGTAATGATTTCAAATGAAGTGTATCCCGGCAAATATGACATAATAATGACGTGATAATGGCGTTTTTATAACGTCGTTAATACATCTCTGGAGTTAAAAATCAGGATTCTCATTTAAAAGTTTAAAGCTGACCTTGAAATGACCTCTAAATTTGACTTCTACGCTGGGGCCAAAGTCATCATCGGATTTTAAAACTCTGCTAATTTCATATTAACATTTTTCTCTAAACTGTTTTCCTAAAGAATTATTTTTGAAAAATTGATTTGACTTCGACGAAGTGACCTCAACGAGTCAATTTGACCTCATGACACATGATAGCATATCTAAACATAGAATTTCCTGCTCTTTTCATTTCCGGAGTCAAAAATAAGGGCTCCTATTAAAACATTTCAAATTCACCTTGAAATGACTTCTAAATTTGACCTCTACGCTGGGCTCAAGGTCATCATCAGATACTCCTCTTTAAACTCTGCAAATTTGGTATTTAAACTTTCTTTTTTGTTCGTTACTTTCTCAGGGAGGATTCTGGGGTTCTGATTTTTTTTATACATCCTGTATAATTATATATAATCATATATGGGCGAATTTCACGCCACATATAATCTTTTTTTTCCGGATTTATAAACAAAAACTGTAATTTTTTTAAGCAAATAATGCTTCTCGTGATTAAAAATTTCTATCCAGGCTTTTTCCAAAATTAATTTTCTTTTTAAATGTTAATCTTAATTATTATTATGATACAGGCGCGTTCCCGACATTTTAACGTTTCAATTAAATATAAATATGTTTGATAAATATCAATTTTTTTCGAGGAGTTATTAATAGTTGAAAGTGCCGAACGCCCAGTGTGGTGAAATCGGAACTCGCAGGAAGTATAGTGTTCCAGGATTAAACTGTCATAAAAAATACATTACTTTTCACATTTAGTTTGGAATGACGGTACGATAAGAGCATTCGCGTCGCACAACGGAAAACTTCACTTCATCATTCGCAATGCACATACCAAAGCCGTTTCGACCATCGTGGTCACAAACGACGGTGCAAGACTTATTAGCGGTGGCTGCGACGGTCAGGTGATTCATTATGCCTTTTCTATAAAGTTGCTTGACATTGATACCGATGATCATGATTAATGTTGCGAACCTTGATATTTCATGTCAGATATTTTCCATGCAATAAGATAAATCATTTCGTAAGATAACGAATTTTCAACTTTTGTTATGACAATGGATAAATGTTTACCCTTTCATCAATATATTGGGTACTTACTATAAAAAAAGATGTAAACACCACGTGAACACGGTTGATGAAGCAATAGCATCCTCATACTTTTACAAATGTTGCCTGCACGACGTTTTATTCTTTAATAGAAAAACATCACATTGCGAGAATGAATCATTTTATCTTCTTTCTTCACAATTCACAACTTGAGTTAGAATCGGCATAGTTGTCCTACTAATTGCTTTAATAGCTTATGCAATGCTCATAGAGGTATCTGTTGAAATTCATATGAACTTCTTGTATAATAAAGCATATAATAAGATTGGATTAATTTCTTTTCATCTTTAGAAAGCTGACACGCTTTCGTTTACATGTTTTTCACCATATAATATGATACTCGACTTCCAGGTGCGCATATGGGATGTAAAAGCTAAGGTGCAACGATTAATTAATACATTGAAGGAACATCGAGGTCCGATAACATCTTTGCACATTTCACCCAATAACCGAGATCTGATTAGTTCAAGTACAGATGGCACTTGTATTATCTGGGACATAGTGTAAGTATTTTTTGTAAAGTATTATCGGATCGACATAGAACGACCTTATCGTATATATTTCGTACATATTGTCAAACAAAGACGTAAATTACGTATTTTTTAAATAATTTTATTCAATCAAATAATCACTATTGGCTTCTTAATATACATTTTTGATATTTAAAGAAGTTTTCTAATATTGCGTATGCTCTTGCAAGAAGTGGAAATAATTATTTTGCAATTAGACTATATGTGAGGAAACACATCCTGCTGGGGAACACATTATTCACGATGTCGCAATTCACACCGAATGGGCTCCAGATTTTAACATGCGGCATGGATCGAAAGATCGCTTACTGGGAGACTTTGGATTGTTCATTAATCCGGGAAATTGAGGACTCCAATATCGGAACAGTGAATTGCGTAGACATCAGTCCTGACGGCCGGTATTTCGTCACCGGATCCAACGACTGCACCGTTAAAATCTGGAAGTATGACAGCGCGGACATCACTCACATCAATATCTCCCACGGTGCGATAATCACCACTTGTAAATTCAGTTCGGACGGTAAACATATAGTAACAACCAGTGCCGACGGAGCAATCATGATTTGGCATTATCCTTACGAAACTTCCGAAGATTCTGTATCTGCAGCTAAGACAGGAAAATAGGTAGCTGCAAATCCACGCGTAATTCGTAAGACGAGAACTGGCATGAATTATCGTTATGAAAATCATAAGATAACGTAGTCATTGCGGTAGACCAAATTACGCAATCGATAAAAAAACCTGTCCTATCGCGCATGAATAAATAAATTGTAATATATACTATATATATATATACATATATATATACATAATTTGTGGTATAACTTTTATAATATTAATGACTGCGAAAGTAAAAATAAAAATAATAACAGCTATAAAAATATAGTAACGAATGCATGAGAACTACATAAGATAGTTTATTTTATAGATTTAAGTAAAAGTAAAAAAAAGTTTTCTAACACTAATTTACTTTTCGTAAATTATGCCACTTTAATAACACTACTTTACTTTTCATAAATTACGGACAGAGTATGTTTATATGCATCAAATAATTTCACGTGTGTATAGTGTTATAGTGTTATAATGTGTATGTGTGGTCTTACTTTAATGGAGTTTATTTTATTATCACACTATTTTGCAATTCGAATAATTTTGCATAACATACAATACATCATTTCATTCTATTACGATCATTTCATATGTGTAAGTTAATTATTATTCTTCTACGCACACATGCATACGCAACGAACGTGCACGTACGAATATATACACGAACGCGCGTGCGTGCGCAACACACGTGTATGTAAAAAATGGGGAGGAGAGGTTGAAATGATTTTATGTGCATTTATATATAAAAAAAATACTTACTACTTTGTTTTTGGAAGCGCTTTATTAACTCACATATTGAATATATATATATATATATATATATATATATTTTTTGAGGCGCAGATTTAATTTTTCGTTGATTTATGTATCCATTATATGCCTGTATTAAAAAAAAAATATTCCTAAGATGAAATACTATATAAAGAAGTTGTACATTTAAATAAAAATGATGTACATATCAATATAACAAGTTTAAATAACATTGAGTATAATACTTTATTACCCTGACGAATGCATAATTTTAATATGTACTAATAAAGAAGCCAGCTCAAGATCTTCACTGTACATATTTTTCAAAGGGACACTCCTATATCCTGTCCTTAAACATCGTACCTAAAACAAGGTGAGATTTAAAAATAAAAATTGTATTATTAAAAGTATTCAATTTTATATTATTATGTAAATTTATTTCTCAATTTATCGGATTGGAAAGGAAGTAATGTCGTATTTTCCAACAAATTACTTTAGTGTTAGAAAGAAATTTCAATCTACGTGACGTAAGTGCTATTCGGATAACTGACATCTTTAAGCGTCACTTGTCGGTGTATGGAGAAAGTATGTAAAAGCGTTTGTGTTTACTTGAGATCGAGAGAAAAACGGGGCAAAACTAATATTTTCATTGTTTAATAATGTTTTACTTCCGTAAAAGTGTTTTACTCCATCAGACCTTATGCTTCTTTAACCACGAGAAAAAATATGGCAACTTGACAACTGAGACGTTTTACCGCACCCAATATTTTTATCAAACATTGCTCCTTCAGATTACTATTCGATTCTTGTAGAACTTCCTTAATAAGTAAGACGTTCATTTCTTTGGAGGTTACCTGTTTTTTCCGACACGAACGGCAATCGAGTACTTACCGGATAAGTAGCTTGTCCTATAAAGTTACTATCGCCAAACATATCTTCATCCTGCACTAAAAATCTTATAAGAGCGAAATATGGATTAAATACTTCAAATTCGCACGTTTCACCCCACATCGGATTAAATCCATTATCCGCTGTAAAAATTATAAATGTTTGACAATATAATGCTTGATTAAACTGAAATTTTTCAAACTAATAAGGAGATACCGCGAACTGCGAGATCGATTTCCAAACGGGTCATCGCTCATTCGATAGCTTGCATGTAGAACGTGAAACCCCTAAAAGGGTTTGAACGAAACGGTCTTTGTTTACGAAATAATTGTTTACGAAACCAATTTTGCATCGCAATTTCTCGTAAACAAAAAACCCATTCATTTAAACCCCTTTACGGGTTTTACGCTCTGCATACAAGTCGTCGATCGAGCTATGATTCGTTCGGAAATCGATGTCGCGGCATCTCCTTGTAAATACTTACGTATAGTTTTTGTCGTCAATTTCACCCCCGAGTCAAAATCCGCACCCACTATTTCGACCTCGACGGATGGACTGGCAGTGCCTCTTCCCGACCTCATCAAATGTCTAGCTCCGATAATTGTCAAATTGATCTTGAGTGAATCAATTCCGTACAACAAGCTTTTGTCGTACGGGTTAAAGTCATGTCTGCACATAAATTCTGGTTTTAGTAAATAACCGCAATTGCCATTTTCTCTAAATTTAGCTTGATTTATTTGCATCGATTTATCTCCAGTCTGATAATTCAAAGCTACCATCTGACAACCAGAATTCCACATTGGCACAGGATTATAATTAGACGAATCGATACGTTGTCCTTTTGGGTAAACCCTACTGAATTGAATCTGTAGAGAACATAATTTTATCAATCATATATTCTGACATTATTTTTTTTTTATTTTAGATATGTTTGTTAATATATATACCTGATGATATTTCATGAAAAATTTGTTCTCTTGTTGACACATCAATTTCTCAGCCTTTGTCTCAGGAAAACTGCTCATCTCATTAAATGTAAATCCCCTAGTTTTTATCCTCTCTATGTTAAATGCAACTGATCTACAATATACTATAAGATTGGACATTTCCTTAGCTATTCTCCATGCCCTTTCCATTTCTTTGTGTTGATTCTCCTGCAAAGGACGTTTATAACGCATATCACACATCTATTCCCAATAATATCATAATTTCGTGTATAAATATTTACCCTAACACTTGCATTTTGTGCAGTCTTGACGCATATCACACATCTATTCCAAATAATACCATAATTTCGTATATAAATATTTACCCTAACACTTGCATTTTGTGCAGTCTCTTTGATACTGGACATCCATTCCAACGCGGCGTCTTTTGAAGGTGTTGCAACTTCAAATACCGAACACATACTAGGATTTTGTATCCTTAACATCCATTCCAAACCTGCCCTTTCTTGGCAAACAGTTAATTCTACTACAGCGCCCATTATATCTAACGAACCTTTCTGCAAGCTACCAAGCATCATAGAATCTGCTGACTAGAAGATGTAAGATTTTCTTCAATTAGATATGATATATGGAGCGATTCGTTTTAAGTAATATATCGATTTTTTCTCAGGAACTAAGTGTTTTCTAAGGTGCTTTCGAGAAATGTTTCAATGAAAAATTGTTTAGCTCCAAGGGGACATAAGAATATGACCTATCTTTGACCTTGGGTTATTTCATTATAGTTATGTTTCTCACCCTCCCCCCTCCCCCCCTCTCATCCCCTCCAGCCTAATATTCTCGAACCCCGGTTCCAACTCTGGGCCAAACCGGGAGGATCACGCGTTACAATCATATACAGGATCTGCCAAAAGTTCCGGAACGGCTAATTCTTTCACAAAATAATGATTTAAAAAAATGTTTGCAACAAAAGTTATAGGGCTTAAAAAAGCTATCAGACATTGATAATTGTTTGGCCTTAGAATATTGGCCTTAGAATATTTGGGTTAATATTTCTATACGTCGGATAATTGAAGACGTTACTAATGTTTATGCAGAAGCGCATCAAAATGTCTCTTTACAAAATGCAAAAGAATTTATTTTGTTATTTTTTGTTATTTTCTACTTATTTTTTTATATATATATGTTTTTTTTTTCCATTTTTCATCAATCCATTCATCATCTCATCATAAAAAATCGGTATATTACTTAGAACTGTGTATTAATCAATGTATTACTCTTAAAACTATATATTATATAATAGATTTTTATATTCTATTATCAATGTATATGCATTACACTCAGATTCTTATTAGCCTCTTTTTTTTATATTAATTTATAAAATTCAAGACTTACATCACTCTGATTCTCTTGTTGATCGATTTGTTCTACATAATTAGCGGGAAACCAATGTTGCTTTTTGCCACCGTAATCACCTCTCCACCAACCTCCGCTTTGCGGATTGACATTAGTAATTATAGCATGCTTGACTAATGTCAATTCATCGTCTCTTCTAGCTTTATAATCATAAATAGCCTTAACCGTAACCTTTAATTATAAAAATGATCGAAACTGTTTCTTATGAAAAGTTTCAATTGTTATTAGTACGTTTTTACGTACCTTTGATGTGAAACTTGTCGGATCCATATATCCTGGGATACCATAAACAGATCCATCATCATTATCCTTAAATAAAAAGGAACGACAAATTATAATCGATTCTTCTAATATTTTCGGACATATGTTTACATATTCATGATAATAAGTTTTTATTATCAAATCAGTACATACCAACCCCATCCTTCTGATAATATCCTGATTGACAGGATGGCTTAATTTTATTTTTTTATACAATGTATGCCGTTCATAATAATTCACTAATTCGACTAAGCTTTCAAACTGTACAGTTCCAGTAGTATACAGTCTTCCTTCAAGTTTTATTTTACAGTGCTTTATTTTCTTTTCTGCTCTGTAATAATAGAACACAATTTAATGTCAGTATAAAAAGTAGATTATACAAGGTGTAAATTATAATATTACTACACGTGCATAAGGTGGCTATTCGTTATGAAAAAATTGAATTAAAAGTTTCTATATCATTTTTGTGCTCCGACTGACTATTTAACTTGTATTATCAACTTGTATTATGGAAAATACAAATTTAAAAAACGATATTTCATTTCAATGCTTAATCTTATTTGGACAATTAGGGAGAGAAAAAATGCATACACTTGACACTTTTTTATCTTTTACTAAAAAAGGTTATTTTGTATTTTAATAACACAACATAACAACAGTGTTTTTTTTTTATATGAAAACAATGAAGTATCCTTAGGGGATTTTAAACTAAAGATGTAAGGATAACAACCACCGTTTGAACTACCAACTTTTTTATTAATAACTTTTTAATAAGCAACAAACAACGACTACGACTACGAACTTTTGAAGATTATTTATAGATATAATTTATAGATATAATTTTGGCAACATGTATCAAGATTAAAATGATTACATTAGACTTGATTATTTTCCTATAAAGTTTCCCTTATAAACTACCTTTACCTTTTTCTTATAAACTATATTATTACGTTAACAAAAATATGCTGTTTCGTTAAAAAAATGTTGATGACTTTGAAATGTCGTAAAATATGACCTCGAAAAAATTTGTCGATTTACTCTTTTGAGAAAAATCATCCCCTTTAACTTTTTTTTCATATCATTGAATATTCTAGGTGCTACAGTTAAAAGAAACACCCTATATATAATATTATATAATGTTAAATAGTATATATGAGCGATATAGCAATATATAAATGAAAAAAGAAGTACGAAACACTTGAAAATATCTTACCTAAATGAAATTGCATAGCAATTATTTTCCCTTTCACTAGGTCTTACTAGGAACGCGCCATCTGTTGGTATCCGTTTTAACATCTCTTCTGCCGCAGTTCGAGTACATTCAGAGTGCCACCATTCTTTTTCTTCATGTTTATTTGGTTGAGGCACTGGTTCTTGTAAGGTGATTAAAAACTCCTATATATATATATATATGTGTATGTGTTAAGAAAATTGATTATATGTCATGAAATATATTTCTTACAAATATTACATATTCCTAATATTACAACTATAGATTTTTCTATAATAATATATTAAGGGTATGTAAAAGTTTCCATCGCTCATGTATGGATAGCGTTATGAGTTATTTAAATGAATGATGCGATGCATTTTTGCTTTGACGTAAATGTTAGTCAACTTGCACAAAATATGACAAGTTATATTCAATAACATAACCACATTTCTAGATCCTATGAAGACAGAAGTCGATAAGGCGCATATTGGTCGTTGTTTGCTTTTCTTGTTCAATTAATGTAAAAAAACGATTGCCGAAGCAACCGGAATCATTTGCAAAACTTATGAATGAAAATCATAATCGAAAGCTCACATTGGGGATGGTTCCGACTTTAAAGGTGATGATTTTGACTTGAAATACGAGAAGCGTTCTTGACGGCCGCAGAAGATAAGTTTGGGATAACTTAGAAGCGTTGCTACTGTAAGATAATGGAGTGTACGACTTGCGAGAAGGCTGCATGTTAATACAAACACCGTGATTAGACTCATCAGAAAAACATAGAAAATTCGGAAAAAAATGAAATAGCTTCCACATGGATTATTCGAGAACACCATTACTAATTGTCGTTCGAGTCGCCAATTGCCTCTCGCCGCTTAATCGACACGAAGCATAAGTTAAATTTTGAATCAAACTGTGACAGGAGAGGAAAGATGGACTTATTATGACAATCTTGACCGCAAAACGTCGTGTGTAAATCCCGACGAATAGCCTCTATGTTGTAGCCGAAGACGAAATATTCATGGGTCCATATTCGTGGAAGGTATTTCTATATATCTGATGGTGTATACATTGAGTGATGTATTACGAGTTGTTACAATCAAGACAGACTTTCACCGCAGAACTATACTATCGAGACGGTCGAATAAGCAATTGATCCAAAAACGACCGTAGACCCGACGTATCGAGTATTTTTGCATTGAAGAAAGTGGGTCTGACAGAACTGAGAGATAGAGACAAAATATCGGGGATTATCTGTTGCGCACGCACAACGGCCGACTGTTATCGATCAGCTAAGTACATCAGCTAGCAAACATTGTCGAAGAAATTGGAACATGCACCGTAATTATACCCATAAGATCGACCCGAGTATTAGATGAACGTTTTTGCAATGCGTGAAGTGTTTTCTTTTCAGATAATACCTAAACAGTTTTTCGATAAGTGAAAATTACGCGAAAAATAGGTGTTTCTTATTATTACAAGCCTTGACGGCTGTCAGTAAATAATTGCGCATTCGATCTGCGCAGACGGAAGGAACGAAAATTTTCCGATACTTTGCCTCTCTTGCCATTCTGCCGAGACTCGCATATTGAGTTTATCATATATATCTATTGAAACGACTATATCTTGCGACAAAACAGAACAAAATGATTCTCCAAAACAACAATGTCAAGCCCCACATTGCATTGGGGCCTGGCATATCGGGTCACGGGAGATTTTTAATGAAAATGGAGCAGGAAATCCTGCAACACCGACATACTCTCCCATATATTGCCCTGGGGGACTTTCACTCGTTTTGTTCCATGCATCTTTTGGTATCGCAATGTCGAGGAAGTTGCGAAAATTTGTCGTTGTTCCTCATTCGTTCTAAGAGTAAAGATTTTTTTTTTGATCGCGGTATCCATGTTTTGCCTGAAAAGTGGCAAAAAATGATAGATAATGCTAGAAAGTACTTTGATCGAGAAATATAGTATGATTTGTAAAATATTAATGAAAGAAAATCGTCTTAAAACTCGATGAAAACTCTTGCATACCCTAATACAACAAATTTTTATACTTACTTGACTTCTAAGCGGATGATTACGATAATGAATAATTAAACTGTATAAACTATCGAAACAATTGGTATCGATGAGATAATATTGCGTTTGTCCCATTTCTTGTTTCAATTTGATACGACAATGATTCACTTTTCCTTTGCGCCAAAATGACAAACAGTAATCACCCACGAATGTGACGCATTGCCGTACGAGGAAAGTACCATCTCCGAGATAAGAATAACGTTGCAACAATTCTTCAGCTTCCTCCCTTCCTCTCGCCAATTTTCCGTGAAACCATTTCTCCCCGAAATGCAATTCATCATTTGGTGCACCCTTTCGAATAAAGTTACGATTATATATTATTTCAAAATTTTAACGGCCATATATCGTGTAACTTACACATCTTTCAAACATAAGTAATCCACGTTTTATAAAGACTAATCCAATTATTATATTTACAGAAAGTATTTGTCGCTAAGTACGATATTCGTTATGTACAGGGTGACCAATGGAAATGTGTCGAAAGTAAATGGTTATATCCCCTCCTCGATTTCAGTAGCTATTTAACTGGCCAGACTCCGCTACCTGACACCCGTTAATTTCATTTGAACCGTTGTATAGATCGGTTTGCGAATGTCAGGATAGATGCGTTGAAGAAAAAGCGTTTCTCATCGAGTGCTTCTACACTGGAGGCAAAAACTATATACTAAGGCGTATCGTGGATTCCGTAGTAAATATTGAAAATGTTTCAAACGAAACCATACTCAGAAGGTATGTTTTTGATCAATTGAGGTCACCACGGAAGAAATCATTGAAAAAATCCATGATATTGTAACAGAAGACCGCTGAGAAGTGCACGTGTGCGAGATTGCTGAAGCTGTAGGCATCTCGACTGAATGGTGCACAAAGTATCCTACAGGAAAAATTGAATATAAAAAAGCTATTCGCGCGATGAGTGCCGCGATTGTTCGCGACTATCGATCAGAAACGCGCTCGAATGGACATTTCAACGCGGTGTTTGGTGATGTTTAACCGAGGGACTTTCTGCGTCGATTCGTACTGTGAATAAAACTTGGACACACCAGGGTCGACAAATAGTCGAAGATGGACAACGACTGATGAAAATGCGCCGAATAAGACCGTTTTGGAAAGGTGATGGCCACTTGTTTTCAGGATTCCCAAGAAATCATCACGGTTAACTACTGATGTCACCGTCAGACGCCTCTTTCTAAACTCTCCACAACTTTTGTTTGAAACATTTTTTTGAAAAACTTCATCCTCCCGAGTTAATCCAGGATCGACAATTAATTTGACACCCAAATGACTTCTAGGAATCTTTTTGACTTTGAATAACACGACTACGTATCTAAACGTAAAATTTTCCGTTCTTTTTATTTTTGATGTCAAAAATAGGGATTTCTATTTAAAGAAATCAAGTTGACCTTGAAATGACCTCTAAATTTGATTTTTATCTCATGGTTAAAGTCAGACGCCTCCTTTCAAACCCTGTAATTTTGGCTTGAAATATTTTTTTAAAAAACTTTATCCTCCAGAATATGTCTTGGGTCCTGACTTTTTTTGAACACTCTGTATAGAGTGAATAAAGTCACAAGAATAGCAACACCCAACTTTGCTGTCCTTGTCTAAGGTTTGGTCGCCATTGTCTCGCACACGTTCCAGTTAAGATATAGTTCAATGATCACAATCAACTTATTTTTGCTCAAATTGTGCCAAATCATAAAAAAATATTTTCTTAATTTTTTGGTGGAAGTACTTTTTATTTATATTTTTTATCTTTGAACTTTCAATAATAAAAGTTTATGACAGTTATTTTGTTGAGTTATTTTGTTTTTATATCCCTGTAAATGTATAAAATAATAAGTCATATTGTTCTAAGCAATACAATAGTAAATTCGACTAGTACGACGGGCTCCTAATTACTCGCTACATCTTTATCTGATGATGCTAGAAGCAAGAAAACGTATGCCAAGAATTCTTGCGTTATACGTTCCAATAAAAAGATATATTTACAAAATGGCATTTATAATCGATTCAGCACATTTGTAAAATTGGGTGAATACTTTTTTTTTTATTTGAACAACTAATAAAAAATCATAAAATTTAAAAAAACTAATAAAAAATCATTAAAATTAACATTTACTAAATTATGAAAAAAGAGACTGGAAAGGAAAATTTCATGTCAAATTAATTTTGTGACTATTTATTGATTGTTCGAATAAAAGAAAAAGTGTTTGTCCAACTTTATAAGTATACTGAAACAATCACAAATATCATTTTGTTAGTATATATTTTTATTTGAACGTGTAATATAAGAATTCTTAACATGCATTTTCTCGCTTCTGGCGTTATCACGCAAGGATGGTTGCAGCGAATAAAAGTCTTAAAAAATATCAATTTCTCAAGCCCTATTTTTAACTTTTTTATCGATAAAAGTGCCTTAAATGTGGCTTCTCAGTCAATCAGGTGGTCTCTAAGCCACTGTTGAAAACACTTTTATAAACAAGAGTTCAGAATACAGGCCTTAGCACTTTGACTGCCACGTTGGTCATATATGACCGGCCACGGTATCTCCTGTGACGCCACGGTGGTCATTGGCGGTGTTCACGGTAGTCATTGACGGTGGTCACGTGGCGTCCTGAGCGAAACATGTAATTTCGGTGTGGCAGTCAAAGTGTTAATGTCCAAACAAGCCTATTAATACATATAATTATTTTCGATCCAAACCGAAAGTTAAAAATAATAACATTAGAAAGATCACATATGATGTAGTAACAAGAAGATATGTTTCTTATAAATCATTCTTGGAAGAGAAAAATGGATTTTAACATTCGCAAGATTTGAAGGTAATTTTGAAAACGAAATTTAAAATTCTAAAATATAAATTTTTGATATCAAAACTTGGTAACTTCTTACTTAGAATTATTTTACTTAAAATCATTATCTATAATAAAAATACCATATTTTCTATTAAAAAAAACTTTCGGTCTGATCAGAGCATTTTAGGTTCAAATCAGAAGATAAAAGTGACACTCTCCAAAAAAAAAAAAGTATAGATAACCAGTCATACAAAAATTTTGGATTATGTCTGAAAGTCCATATTTGATGAAAAAAAAAAAGAGACCCAAATGATTCAGATATTTTACATGCTTATATGTATACGTACATCTGACGATCTCCGAATACTGCTTTCATCGTCATCATCATGTTCAGTGTCTTGTGTTTTAGAAAACGTGTCTGTGTAAAACAACTTCTGTTGTGTTAGTACAAAAAAATGAGGATTCCATTCTCTGTCAACAGGATCTTCCAAATAAAGAATCCCGTTTTTCACAGTATTTCTGAGATCCATTTCTTGTCTGCTTTCATCATTTCGGACAAGAAATGATGATTCGTCGACACCGTCGGGAAGTTTTTTGTGTTTTAGTAAAATTTTCCTACGCAATGCGTATGGAGAAGGTAGAAAAGTTTCATTTTTGTCAACGGGTTGAACTAAAAGCATGTCTCCAAATATCTCTTGCATAGTCGTCGCCATTTTACGTTGTTGCGGTAAAGTACAATTATCCTCGATAGACAAAATTACAGGATACCTGTATGAATAATATATATATGTATATATAAACTAAAAGCAGTAGTCGTATAAATAATTGATAATACAATCTTTCTTCTTCAGCTTACTCGGATGTAGCGAAAGCATGTTCTTTAATAGTTTTAATAACATCCAAGAATTTAATTTTAGTAGTGAGAGTATGTCCATGAAATATAAATGGCATCCCGTCTGGACCATCCCAACAATCAAGTTCAATACATCTACAACTTGCTCTTAGCGCACGTACATAAGCTTGACAGCTGCTTTCACTGCTTATCTGATCTCCCATCAAATACCTATGAATTAACATAAAATTATGATCATTAGAATATCTTTGTCTACGTTTCTTTAAAAATTACTTACGTGTTATGCGAAGACGCTATCCAATAGTATGCAAGAGGCAGAGTCATATCTTGAGAAACTTGATTAAATTTTTGATCCCATATGTCATTTTGCTTGGAAAACAAAAAATCAATAAATTCTGAAAAAGTAAAATACGGTTCTTGTATATCTCTTTGGGGATCTTGTAAATACTCCCTAATGAAACGCGATATTTCTAACTCATTGTTGCCTAAGTCATCTTGTTGTTCAGTTATTAAGAAGTTTTGAAATTCATGGAGAGTAACAGTCTGTTTAGTTTGGGAGTAACTTGATAATTTGTTCCAATCCGCAAGATTCTACAAGAACATTCATTGATTTCAACACAGATAAGTAATGATATTTAAAATGTTTATATATAAAAATAACATACACTTACATTCTGATCGAACATTAGTTTGTGGTATAGAATAACAAAATCATCAAAGCCCAGTTCATTCCGATTTCTTACATCCACTTCTTGAAACAACTCTCTAAGTCTATTTGTGGCAATTTTACAATTAACTCTAGGTAAAAATGCTTTTATATCCTTCATAGTGATTCTGTTATTTAATACACGATGTTTAGTTAAAATTATTAGAATGATATATATAACAAAGAAATATTCTCTTAAAGATATTTACGTTTCACGGGAACTTTCCATGGCATAAAATTCTTTTCTAAGCCATCTCTCTACTTGTAAAGGATATGGTGCAGTTATGGTATCTTGTACTAAATGACGTAATCCTTTAACCCATAATTCACATTCTTTTTCACTAAGAGCTAAAATAAATACAGATCAACATTAAGTTAATTTAAAAGATTAAGTAATTCATTATTAACAATATTTGTGTCTATCAAAAATATATAGATAAAACGTATGAAATAATATAGATTTACATATCATATTCACCAGATATAGAAAGAGTTTTTAATCTAAATTCTGATCCATAATATATAACAAAGCATCTCAAATTCTCAATTCTTTTAGCATCTTCTGGCCACTTTTCAAAATCTTTTGATTGCTTTCCTATTCTTATTTCCTTAACTTCTCTTATTTCCACTATAAATGAATATTTGAAATTAATATATACTTCATATGCAAGATGAACCACATAACGTGATCAGCTTAGTTTATTCCGCTACTGGTGAACCGATTGGAAATTTTTTATCTAGTACAGCATGGATCAAGGTGAGCTTAAAGATTACCTTAAACACCAGAATAAACTAAGTTGATCACGTTGCTAAGTTGATCATCCGGTATGTAATAGGTATAATAGTTAATAAATCTTGGAGCCAATCATAAATCTTTTCCCTGGTGTAAATTTGTGAAAAGTAAATATTTCCATATGCTAACATTAGAAAATTTTCATCTTTCACAAAATCTATGTTAGAGAAAGATTCATGATCGACTTCTTCATCTAATATTTAACAACAATATCAATCTTTTAAAATATAAACATATTAAAGTAATAAAGAAATAGAATTTTACCTGAACCATCAAAAGGTCTGAATGTTGTACTTCTTGACCATACAATCTGCCTAGTTTCTCTTCGTATCATAAGAGTTTTCTTTTCTGGTCGTTTTCTTGGGAAAAACTTAGTTACTACAGTACCCCTCTCAAGTTGACTAATAATTTGTTCCATTTCAGGAATAATCCCATTCATTTTTCAAAAGTTATATATGCTCACTGAAACTGATATATTTTCATATATCTCAGGACAAAATAAATTGTATATTATTGTTATAATTCTAACATACTAACAATGAAAAACAGTAAAATTTTAAGATGCAATATTTTATGTTGCATATAATTTTATAAAATAGATATATTAAATGACAGAATACTTATATAAAAGACAGATATAAATAATCATATACTGACAACTGGACAACACATAGACTATTATTATGATGAAATAAATATATCTTCCTTTCTTATTTTATAAATTCCTAAAATATGCTACAATTACAAACATATATATAAGCGTGTATTTCTTAATTTTCCAGTTGCCTTAATCAATTTAGCACTACGAAACTTTTTTACTGTAAACATAACCTAGTCAGAATTTTCTTTGTAAAGACTGCATAATACAAGAACATATCATATTATGCAGTTACCGTTGATAATATGTGACTATGTGTAAACATATACCACCAAGTTTTCCTCGAAGAAAAATAAAATTCAAAATTTGATTCTGATA